GGAGCAGAACGACGTGGGCATGCGTCAGGAGATATGGCCAGGAGCTCTTCGACACGCCGAAAGCACCGTTCCTACTGAAGACTCGCCTGCTCCAGGCCGAGGCGATGGAGGCACTGCTGTATGGCTGCATGACACGGGCCCACGTCAAGACCAATACCGGACGTTGCGGACGATACACCACCGACTGCTCCTGCGAGTTATCGGTTACCAACGCAAGAAGGGCACTTACCGGCAGCTTTCCTACGCCCAGACTCTGAAGAGGGTAGGGTGCCAAGAGCGTGCAAACCACTATCCGGCAACGGCGCCTGCTGTTCGCGGGAGCGCTGGTAAGGCAGCCAGGCGGACGACTCCCGAAACGGGTGATGCTTGGCGAACTGGTGGGGGGGGAGGGCCCAGGCAGGGGAAAACCGGAGCAAAACTGGCAGATGTGCCTGAAGGACGACCTCAAGATGTTCAAGGCAGAGCACGGATCTACGGATGCTGAGCAATTCTTCTTCGGAGTCCCGGAAACAACTTGGATGTAAGCAGCGAAGGTGGACCGGGGGGTACCGTGGCATACAGGGGTACTGCAGGGAGCTAAGAGGTTCATGGCCTCCTGGCATAAGAAGGAAGAGGAGGCTAGCCGACAACGAGCGCTCAAACGAAACAAGAAGCCCGACAACAACACGGACACGGCAACAACCACGGGGGTAGGAGGGGTACAGCAGACGGACGAGACGGCGAAGAGGCGAACCGAGTGGCGCGAAACACCGTGCCGAAATGAACCTCTTGCTTGACTAATCTCCCCCCCCCCCCCCAGCGGTGTTTGCCATCGGGGTCGGGTTTTCGTCGCTTGGCAACGACGTTGTAAAACAAGCCGTCCCCCCCGGTGTTTTGCCATCGGGGTTGGGTTTTCGTCGCTTGGCAACGACGTTGTAAAACTGCTAAGTCACTTCGTGAACTCGACAACCAGGTTACCACGTGTTTTTAACTCTGTTTTGTTTTGCGGTAACCATGAATGGTGGTCAAGTAGATCATGTTGTGCGGGGTCGAGAACCCTCACTCCGCGCAAGGAGGATGGTCGCACCACGTTATGTTAAAATGGTCAAGCATCCTCGAGGCAGTTCCACCGTGCTTATAACTGTCTCTGGAAGTGAAAGCACCAGAAAATAAATTAATTCATACGCAGCTGTCATTCGTACGCAAGGAAGTAAACACAAGATGCCGAACACCGTTAGCAGGATGCAGCGCACCCTTCATGCGACTCGCCGAATACCTCACGGCGCTTCGCGCTTGGTGATGTGAGAGCCTGGTCCGGTGAGAACCCGGCGTGCTCCGTCCCGGCTTCGTAGGGATGCGAGGTCAATGGTCTAACGACTACGGCATGCACGACTATGAGTACCCCCCCCCCC